AGGGACCCCGGGCAGAGCCGGGGCTGAGGGAGGCTGCCGGCCTCGCCCCTCCGTCGGGCTCAAATCGGCTCCGTGGGGCGTGCGGCGCTTTGTTTTTACTTCACGTACTTAGCTTAGGTGATTTATTCTGTTGCTAATTCAGAAATGGTGAAAGGAGAAGTGAGGACGGCTCTCTTGGGTTTTGTAAATAGTGACCGGATTTATGTATTGTAGGTCACCCACCGTGCTGTCGTCGGAGGCGATCCGTAGACTTAGGTCTTGGCCAGATTTCTACACTTCTAAAATAAGAAATGTGGAAAAGCATTGATTAGGAGCACGTTATTCTAACAAAATGACATAAATGCATAGCTGACTTAATTGATAACTGTATCTTTAGGGTAGAGATTAATTAAGCACTTTAAAATCTTACTCATTCTGGCTTTGTGTTTCTAATATTTTTAGGTAACAAGATGCCTGATTTGTAGATCTGCATAGCAGTTGTCTGTAATCACTATAAGGAACTTCTTGGCTCCTTAGTGAATTCTGTGTTCTAAGCATATTGGAGAATATTTTACTGACCAAAGCAGCATCACCCAGTGTAATGCTACCCCCTGGCTTTATTAAGGCTACTGAATCAATCAATGATGATGCTCTTACTCTCCTTTTTTTTTTTTTTTCCCCCCCCGTTAATGATTTCCATTAGTATATATGATTGAAATGTAGCAGCAGTACTCAGTACTGCTCATGGAATCAGAATCAGAAAATAAAAATAGCTAGAAAAAAAGTGAAAGTTTGTTTTCATAGTTTGCTTTGAACAGCAAAATGGTGAGTAAATGTCATTCGTGATATAAAATACTTTCACAGTTATACATAAAAAATACATAAAATGTAGGCTATTAAAATGTAATTTTAGCATTCTTGCAGTTGGCAGACAGTTCACTAACAATTACTTTGGGAAGTAATTGTCTCTTTCACTTCCACTTTTGTATTTGCACTACACTTAAATAGGAAACATGCATTGGAAGCTAAAAAGGAATCTTTGAGATTTAGACAGTTTAGCATTTTAATTAAAAAAAAACCCAACAAACCAACAAAAACCAAAACAAACAAAAACCCTCAACAATGCTAAAAACAACCTTTTTGAATGCACAGTTGATTTCAAATTCTTTTGGAAAATAGCTTTATTTTAATTGATTATGAATTCCAGAGCTTCAGCGAAACACGATAGAGGATATTATAACCCTAGGATTATAGATACAATTGAAAGTAACACATTCAGCAGTTACTGGCAGCAGAGAGAAAGCTGATCCATCTGGTGATTCTGAGCAGAAGACCTTGTATTTTATAAGTCACTTGCAGCTTATTTTTGTGAACACATGGCTTAAGAGGAACTTTTTGTGAAATTACAACAGATACATAGACCCCGAGTAGCTCCATTTAGACATGTGTTTTATATGATGCAGAACCATGTGGGTAAACGCAGGGAATTCAAATTGTCAGTTCTGAAACTTGCACAACAATGCAGTATCACTTCTGCATCATGTTGCAGTTAAAGTTTGGCAACCTTTCTGTTTCCAAAGGATTATGATGGAACTGGACAATTCCAGTAATCAGAAATTCTAACATCATTCCCTTCACTTTTGTAATCAAAGAAAACATGCATTCATATGTAATTTAAAAAGAGAATAAAGTTACCCTCCAAATGTCTCATGAAATAGCCTCATTTACTGTTTGTCAAATTACTGTGATGTGCTAACAGTGCCTTATTAATGGAAACTGATTTTAAAAAGGTTTGTGTTTGACAAAAGAAGAATTGCATACAGAATTATTAATTAAATTTGTGGGAGTCAAGAATACAATCTTCTGAATGTTTTGGACATATAAGAATCAAAATAATACTCTACAGACACTTAAAGCATATAAGAGCAATTGCTGCTTCCTCTGTTTATGAAGAACTTGCCACGGTAATGGCAGAAAACCCTTACTTGTGTGCTACCCCTATGTAGTATGTATCTCTCTCTGTATATCTGTATATGTAGATATATTTGTGTATACACACCTACATATGTCCCTTATTTAATTGGGAGTTTGTGGAAATATAGTAGCATCATGCTCAGTTCTGAGTCCATTTACTGCAGCTTCTGTTTCTCGAGATGTGAGCTTGTGCAGTTACTCTGTCGTCTCTTCCTCTGTTTGGCTTCTCTGGCAGACATGCAGGTGGATTTATTCTGGGATTAATAATATCTCTTCAGCTGCACAGGTCATGATTACTTTAAAACTTAATTCAGTGTACAAATACTTGTTAAATGAATGTTTTTATAGGAGGGAGTAGAAAGTAAGGAAATTTGGGTAAATTAATAAATAAGCTAAATAGACTTCTGTATTTAATGTTGAAGAGCATAGCAGCAGATAGTGATGGAGGACAGGCATGCAAGGTCTATTTACATAAACACCTCTTGTCTCTGCCTCCAGGGTGTTGTTCAGTATGACCTAACCATCGTAAAAATGGACCAATTCCATCATAGTTGCAGTGAAGTGGCTGGTCACAGGTGTTTCTCTTAATCCAGCCTGTATAATACATTGTGTTTCCAAATTAATTTTTAATAGTTTTATAGTCACATCATATTTATCTTGACTAATGTTTAGAAAAAAAGGTTTCTTTTCAATGTTAACTCCCATTTTCCTTAAAACAAAAGCATGCCCATATAATAACCAATAGATACTTCGTGGTAATCAAGTATCAGTCAAAGACAGATTGTTCATTCTGAAAAGAAACCTCTTTGACTTCGAATAGAACTGATCATAATAGTTATATCCTGAGTCACAGTCAGGTTCAGATATTTTTGAGGTATTAATGTTTTCCCAGTGATTTTTTTTTTAGTGCATTTTCCTTTCTGAAAGCAGGTTGTAGAAATAAGTGTGGTTCCTTTGAAAAATTACTTGATCAATAAATGTCTGACCAGAAAAAGGTGAGAGGCTTTTGTTGCTTTCATTTTATGGGATTTAAATTGCGGACTTTGTTAGAGGGTCAGAGCCAGAATTGCAGATGCTTTCAGTGATGGAGGAATTATTTCCATAGGGTTTTGTGTAAGGTGCTTTGCAGGCATCAGGCTTAAGATGACACTAAACTTTTTTTTTTTTTTTTGTGCTAGACAGTTAATATATTTAATAATGACAGGCCATAGTAAATAGGCAAGCACGAGGATTGAGAATATATGCTTCCAGTACTGAGAATGTATGCTTCAAGTACCGATAATATATTTGGAAATGTGAACAAAGGAGTTGTTCTCGGAGGATGAACACTAAAGCACAGTTGACACTAGATATGCTAATTTCTTATAATGTATGAAGAAAATTAATTTCTGGTAGATGACACTTTCTTCAGACTCGGTCAACTAAAAAAACAGATACAAGTAATAGTATCTGTGTGTTGATTTAATTACTGTTTGTTTCTTTGAATCCAGTTTATCTCCCATGGACTCTGCTATTTAACTCTTTTAGTGCACAGAAACAACCGTCACTCTGACATCTGTGTTTTGACATGTATGTGGAATTGAATGTTTTGTCAGTTATTGTTAGTCATCTTTCTTGCTAAAAATTAGGGAGGGCATGGAGTCATGCCATCTTCTATTCCAAATATGCTTTCCCTCTGTTATCTACTCAGATGTACAGATTTTTTACATGATTTCTCAATGTCAACGTCTTGCTTACAGGTAAAAGTAGTAAAGTATCTTTTGCAGGTAGACTTAAAAGTGAGCAGTTTCCTATTTTGGTTCTTTTGTAAATATCTGCCATAAAACCCATTCGTCAAATTGTGTTTCTGGGATTATGTCAGAACTATAGCTGATTTATTAAATTTTGGAGTGAATAGAGCAAAGGATGTGTAACCAGCCTAGTCAGTAGTACTGGCTTCCTTAATTATGCTCATTATGTGATATACCCCAGTAAACCATTAAAAAAGTTAACGTTGCACTAATTAATATGCAGAAGGTCAAGAAATGTCTAACATGAAGCTGAACTTTTTGGTACAGCTTAAAAAGTTGTATTGAAAAATCAGTCTTTTTAAAGGACAGTACTTAAATTTTGTTGGAATTATTTGCATTACATACAAAACCTGATATATTCAAAAACTTTCTTAAATCCTATGCTGCTGTCCCCTTTGGCAGCATATTACTACTAATATTTTACGCTGTTCTATTATTGTGCTTTGTCTGAAGACAGCACAAGAAGTTGAATGTTAACAAAAAAATAAGATTACTTGCCATGTGCTGTTATTTATTTGTGTGTATGTGCCATTCCACAGTGTAGAGGGTGGTGGTTTTAAACTTTTTAAGGGATTGCAGTAAGTGCATTCTTGCAGTATATCTTGAGTTAGCTCCTTCCAGCTGATATTTGTTGAATGATTTGCAAAGCATGCCATACAGGTTATGGACTAGAAGAGGAGGAGCGGGGGGGTTCTGTGTTGAGGGTAGCTCCTG